TTTCAACAAAAAATAGAAAACACAAACCTAAGCACCTAACCACCTAAGCACCCAACCACCGACATAACCACCCACCCACCAACCCGCCCCCCCCCCCCCCAACCCGCCAGCCCACCACCCAACCAATCAACCAATCCACAAACGCACTCACCCAAACATAATACCCAAATGTACGACCCTCCCAACCATCCAACCAACCACCACAGCCACCCTGCCATCCACTCCAACCGCCCAACCAACCACAAGCCCCGAACCGACCACTCAACCACCCCATGTTTTGGAGCGCGCCCATCCCAACCGCCCAATCAAGCAACCGACCCTCTTAACCCACCTAAGCACCCAACCACCCACCTAACCACACAACGAACCACCCACCCACCCAACCACCCAACAACCGAACCACCCAACCACCCACTCAACCACCCAACCACCCAACCAACCAACCCATGAAACCACAAAACCGCCCACGTAACCACCCAACCAACCAAGCAACCAGCCACACAACCACCCATCCATCCGCTCAACCACCCAACCAACCACCTAACCCAACCGCCCAACCACCCACCACCCAACTAACCAACCAACGTACTACTGTTCGTAATTATTATAATTTTTATTTTTTTTTTGCAGCCGCGTCACTCGACTCATTGTGTTCGTCGCTTATCGTACGCATTGTGTTGCCGTCAGCTTTCGCAGTGTCGTCGGCCAGCCATTGAGACAGTTCATAATTGTCAGGTTCACTTATTCAACATTGCGACACAACATGGCCGACGTAGTTGTTGTTGTGAAAGAGGTTGTGGCTGGAAAGGATATCGTCGTGAGAGAGACAGTATGTGAGCGCGATACTGAAAACGAAAGAGACTTTGAACACTGGGAAGGGGTTGTCGCCACGAAAACACGTGTGTACTACGCGTTCATCGATGACACCCTCGCTTTGAGGGTCGTGGCGGGGTTTGGGTACGACGACTAGGATTGCCTTGATGAGGTTGTAATGCACGCAAAATAACTTTCGGATGTCGTTCCCGACGCCTGCGAACCCTCCGACTTCGATATGATTGGTCATTCGCTAAGGTGCATCGTGTCAGTCGTTGCGGTCGAGCATGTGGAAAGGTTAGCACCCAACGCATGGTATTTCTCCAAACTCGACAGGCCGCTGCAACGCCGTACTTTTCTCCACGGAGATGTGCGCACTATGTTGCCAATGGACGGTTGCCGACAACAGTACCAAAGTGTCAACGAACCATCATCCCGGTCGTCTCATGCTTAGTCCCAAACAGGTGGCTTGACTTACAAAATCGTAAAGATTTTTAACATTCGACAGTGTTCGAGACCGCGACTACCCGCTCATCTCATATATATGTATAAAGTGTGTTCCCCCTCCCCGTGCGGTACATGCAGAACATCATGTTTGCATGATTCGTTGCTCGATCGTTAGGTTCATAACTTACGGTGTCGGTTTCATGTGAATTGCAGCACTTTTTGAACGCCATACGAAAGAAGCGACGATGCATTGCGCGCCAATGATTGTCCGATGTTACCACACCACAAAACTGACAGGTGGCGACACCGTATACTATTACGAATCAATGACTCCCGTAACAGATCCTGTCGGCGATGCAGCCGCAATGGAGACAAGAAGGTGAATCGTCATTTCGTTGTGAGCATCGAGGAGGAACGAGACGTCAGGCTCACTACAGAGACTTATATTCGTGACCACGCCATCGAACACGTTCGTGTCCTAATGTCTAAGCCGACCACGTACTTCAGCACCTTTGTTCTCAAACCGGTCGACGGTGATTTGATGTATGATATCGTCTTCCCCCTTGTGCATCGCATACTATACACACACTACGGGACGGTCGCTCGGGACGGCGTCTGGCGGCTGGTCGTGTCACCGCCCTATTTTGTCTCCGATGGCGATGATTTCTCTGCCATGTTTTATCCTTGCAGTGCGATCCATCGATGAGTACCGTTCGTTTTTTTTTTTTTCCCTATGTTTCTTCATTGTTGGAGAGAGACAAAATGATGGTTTGAAATATTGCACATTTTGTGTATACATATGCAATCGCCATCTCCCATGTGTTTGTTATATGTTTTGAGTTTTTTTTTATTCGTCTGCTTTGCGCTGTGAAATTTATTTTCGTTTTTGTTATGTGGAGGTACAGTACTAAGCTCATCGGTGCCCGTGATGTTGTGTTTTGTAGATTTCTACAAATTCACATATAAGCGACACAACAATATTCACCCATTCCCATACATGGACCGCCGATGATGCATGGCTGGCGTGCGGGCCGACGCAGTCGTGTTTGAAAATGGGACAGATAAAGATCCTTTCCGCGGCGAGGAGCTGACAGTCGCCGAGATTAGGAGTCGGTGGCCGGGACCCGCAGCGCTTTTGGAGGAGGCTGTTACTTTTGCAAGGCTGGAGGAGCACCTGCAACAGTGCATGAATCTGCTTATTGGACGTGCAAATCTCGAACCAAAGCAGAATCGTTACAATGGATATGTCGTTTTTTCTCGGTTGTGCGGGTTCCGCGTTTTCTGACAGATATTGCCAGATGAGTTCCAAGTGGCAATGCGGGAACGATGGCCAGATACAATCATTCGAGGTTTTGAACTACGACAATGTGATCCTCCTGAAAACGTGCGCCCACGTCGACGTGCACGGCGGTAAATGCTTCACGACACGAGAGATAGATAGATAGATAGATAGATAGATAGATAGATAGAGAGAGAGAGAGAGAGAGAGAGAGAGAGAGAGAGAGAGAGAGAGAGAGAGAGAGAGAGAGAATGCTTGCCTTCAGTGTGAGTACGTATGTAATTCCGAGTGTGTGTTTGCCTGGAAACTGACATTTCCTGTTGTCGTGACTTGCAGGGATTGCATTATATAAAATTTGGTTTCCCTGGTGTACATCATCTTCTTCTTCTTATAATCCTCAATCTCTCATTTGAAGTTCATTTATTTTATTTTGCAATTGTATGTCATTGTACCATTAGATGTGTGAAAAAAACGATCTAATCCTTGCTCTCGTCACTCAAGTTCAAAAAACTCACATAAGATACCATCAGATGTGTGAAAAATAAAATAATATATATATATATATATCACTTTGTTGTCTAACGATTTTTTTCCGGCACTGACACAAAGACAATCTCAAACACGCCCACACATGCATAAGAAGAGGGGGAGAGGTGACAGAGTCAAAACTGCACACAGACAAGGATAAGGAGCGAGATTCAACCATGCACACATGGGGGAGGTCAGACAATGACTCTCACTCTCCGACAGACTCCCAACAAACAATCACAATAAAGAACCGCAGCAAGATCACAATTCATATGATGTTGATGATGAACCAACTCGAACGAATATCATAACAGAGTTTGTTCCAGTCCCTTGCTCCCCAATCGATTTCTGTCATTCTACTAATAGAGTACATTAATCTAACCTACACCTATACCGGACTGACTAACCGACCAACACCGTTGCAGTTTCGGCCTCTCGGCCTCTACCGAACCAGACTATAGGCTATAGAACCGTCTATCAGCTTAGGCCATTAGGGCCTGTCTGTCCTGAGGGTAGTCCGGGCCTGCTATTCGCAGCAAGGGTACGTATAGGAAATTCGAAATACTGCTGGGCCTGTATTTCTCATATGACCGTCACGAATTTTCCTCACAGGTTCGTCTCACGATTAGCCCTCAGTCGAACAAAATTACAAATGTAACCATAAGGGGTAGTATACAGCCTCGCCATCAGTCTTGGAAGTCAGAGTGACAAAAAATAGAGATGTACATACAAGTAAAAAGACAGACATAATGTAGCGTAACAAACAAAACACCATGACATGTGTGTGAACAACGCCATGCACAATGAAATTCGGATGACCACACCGATGTCAGGTCAACGATAAAGCCATTCAACCACTCAAACGCTGAACAACTCTATATCGTCACCCTCAGATTCGGAGCTCGATGTCTGGACCCAATCATCGCATGCAGGCACCGCATCGTCCTCCACGTGACCGATGATGAAAACACGGTTCTCCCCCACCGCCTCATGGTCGAAATCCGAGGCAGCATCATCAACGACTTCCACTGGGTCGCCCCCACCGTTGACGAACAAATCACGCGGCAATGACCCGGCTCCATATAGACAAACCTCATGCCGCAGAAGCTCTCGAGCCCAGTCTGAAACATAAGCCGAACCAAACACTGACGCCATCAATCTGTCCTCCCAACAGTCAATCGCCTCGTGACTGTAGTGTCGACGAAAGTCTGGTCTCGCACGTATGGAAATGCTCGCAGCAATGCGAGCAACATACCCGACCAGGTCGCGCCAGCAGTGACTGTTCCAACGAATCACTGCGATCGACAAACGTGTAAAGAAAGACTTCTCGAAATGCACCGACTTCTTCGCATAGATAATGATGGTGCCCTGAAAAGTCTCCACCGCCGATGTGTGCCGAAACTCGACGTAGTACGGCGTGATGTTAGTGCTGCATTGTTTATCGAGAACACGCAGAACGAACTCGTAGACCGTGTCCGTGCGGCTACACAAAGGCAATCGTGCACACTCATCGGCCTTCTCGCAGAGAACCTCCCTACCGTCCCCACATCCTGAATGATCACCAGCCCAATGATCGGCGACCAACATGATATCGCGGTGTAGACTGTCGGCGTCTCCGCCCTCATCCCTGCACAGCTGGCAAGCGCGGAGGAACCACATCCCAACCTCATGCACATGATACTCTGTCAAGCCGTCTGGATCAGTCTCCAACGCTCGAGGATTCAACCTCGATCCGTAGGGGTACATCTTTCGCATGATGACAGCGACGAAGTCCGATTTCTTCAGCCGCTCCTCAGCAGGTGTGAGGACGTCAGGTCCAAAACGCTGCTCCAACGCCTCCTTTAGTTGCTTCTTCATGAACTGCATGAATTGCGCCTCTGATACACAGTCGTGCGGGCTGCTCACTTTCTTCGTTTCCTTCAGTTGTAGCATACTGTGGAAGTGCTTTCGAATGTTTTTTATTTTGTGGTGGCAATCCTTCTGCAACTCGATGTTCATAGCTGGCAACTTCGGTCCCAGCGCCGCACAATCATCCGAGACAACGCACCAGATCTTCAACCCCTTGTCCATCAGTCCTCGCAAAAGTTGCACGACGGCTGGCACCTCAAGCGCATTCGATGCCTTGCCTTCAATCTTCGGACGGAGAGTGTGAATACCTACAACAAGCCGAGTCTCGTACTCCATCGCGGTGACAGTGCAATGCTGCGCGCCTCTGGCAAAGTCATATCGACCATCAACCATCAATGTCACTAGCTCACCACGGCGAATCACAGTGTCAATGGCAAGCTCGCAATATTTTATGCCCTGCCGTACGACCTTGGCATTCCACCCCTCCGCCCCCCCCGGTTCAGTGCGCATGAACTTGTAGAATGTGGGTTTGTGTACCGAGCACATCCCTAAACAAACACAAAAGTTGTCGAGTAGCGTAAACGTAAGGCCAGCGGTGACCGTCGCATGAAAGAGTTGTTGCATCAGTCGCGAATGATAGACATTCGTGGTCACGAGTGTTGTGTGCCACGTCCATTTGCATTTCTTGTCGCATACGAACGTCAACTTACAGAGCTGCGCAGGGTACAAGACGGACTCCACAGACACACGGCACGAGCCCTTGTGCCACGGGCAATATAGATGAAACATGGCGAGGAATTGAAGAAGCTTAACCGGCTCCAGAAACACAACATCCGGCGCCGTCGGTCTACTCCATCTAGCCATCGCCTTCTCAACACTGGTACGGTCAATTTCAGGTCCAGGACCGCATTGGTCAACACCGTCCCAACTATCCCACCACGTCTGCGGTCGGGCAGGTGTCGATGTGCAACGACCCGTGCTGCGGGGTCTGCCGCACCCTCTGTCACTGCGCTGCGATGCACGACGCGATGACGGGAACGAGTTCTGCAATCCGTTATGAGACTCACCCAAGCCTCCGCTCGCTGAACCCTGCGAACCCCCCTGACCGTAGTCAACACCGGAATCGCCTGGCATATAACGCAACGTGAAATCTCGACCGCACACCCGAGATGGCAACGAAGAAGAAATCACATCTCTTACCTCGTCTCCAAACTCCGCTCGGATGGCTGGTAAGGATCAGTGCAGCAGCCGATCAATAACGTCGCCGACCGGTCCGCGCTGGTCACCTAGATCGGCCATGGCGTCGCGGAGAGCATACAACCGCCTCCGACACGCGTCCCGCACACAGATTCGCACAATGTTATTACCGCCCGAACACGGCGTGCTGCCGGCTGCCGCTGAGCTATCCGCATCGTCAAACGGATGTGCGGAATCTGGAGCGACAAAGGGAGCCTGAGGCGGCACCACAAACGAACCCGCCGCCTCGTCGACGATTCGTCGACATGAAACGGGTGGAGAACGCAAAGCATCGCTGCGATCTCCGGGAAGAGAACCGCCTCCAGCAGGACATGGCGGGGCCACCGCATGTGACCATACAGGTGCTAAAAAAATCGTGGCCGCATAGTCCAGCCGTCTAGGCAGCAGTGGGGATGGCAGCAACGGAGCACCATACACACCTCCAAATGTGGCCGCGTCACGGAACCCGGCCACACCCGGCGGAGATGCCCCCAACACACCGGCGAAAGGCGAGATGGGTGTCACGCCCGGCCCAACGACGCTGTCAGTCGCATGCGAAACGGTATCGCGGCGTCGTTTCCCCAATCGGACCTCCGGACCACCGCTGTGCGGTGAAACACCCAACAACCCCCACACTACACATGGAGATCGATCGACGCTTTGGCGAGGATCGGGGGTCCCCTTCCGAGATCCCTCAATGGGCGATGATCGAGCGAGGACAGCGTCCCCGCCTGTCGGTGACATTGTCAATGTCAGGGTCTGCACAGCACCGAGAGTCAGACAAGCACGAAGTAAGGAGTCAACGGAAAAGTGTGTGTGTGTGTGTGTG